CTGCGACTCAAAGACCAGAGCTCATTTGATGTCACTGTGAAAGAAGTGGTTGGCACTAGAACTAATGAGGAGGCGACCAGCGAGTACTCCATCCTCTGGCACGGTGACCACCATAGAGTCAACCGAGAACTGTGTCTGCACTACCCAAAAGGAACAAATGGAACTGCCTGGTACCAGGGCTACGTGAGCAACAACTCCCACTGGCCGATGGACCCACACTTCTCCATCGGCCGCGTCCAGTTCAACTCGATGATGGAGCTGGAGCGGTACTCGGTGCCCACCTCGGCCGCCCACTGGACGCGCGAGTTTCAATTTATCCTCGAGCAGCTGTTCCTCAATTCGGACGGCTTTGCCGTCCACCTCGACCACCGCCAGCCACTGTTCATCCGTCGAGATGCAAATGGAAACGCCCCAGAGGCGTTGATCTGCTTCAGCACTGCCGTCGACAACCACTACTACCCGAAGCGACTGCTGAACACCACCGCTGACCTGGACCTCAAGTTGAGCATCTTCTCCGCCAAGAACACCCGAGTCGTCACCGACCACGTCGTCCACCGTTCGGGATACATTCCCAAGCCAACGGCTATTCCAGCAGACCTCTCGCTGATTCGCAGCCCCACCTTCACCAGCGACGGCATTTTTGACCTATCTCACGTCGGCCTGAACATCTACTCTGAGTCGACCATCTCCAAGTACATTGAGAACATCACCTCCAAATACTCCCTCTCTCCAAAGAGCCAGTTCCTCATTGAGCGCTACAACTGGCTCAACTACAGCCACGGCTACGAGGTTGACAGCAAAACTTTTCCCAACATGAGCTCGTTTGCAGACGGCCTGGCGGCAAAGGGCGTCCGCCTGGGCGGCATGCTCGCCGGGCCGACGTTGTCGGTAAATGACAAGGCCCATCCCGAGTACCGGAACTACACGCTGCACACTGCCGCCACCAACTACCCCACCTGGACGCTGGACTTCACCAAACCGGAAACGGTGGCCTTCTACTCGGCCCTCCTCGCCCGGGTAGCCAAGCAGTACCGGGTGGCCACCTTCTGGCTGAAGTCCTTCATCTTCTGGGGCGACGACTGCAACTTCCACGACCCGGCGGTGACCCGGTACTTCAGCCTCTTCGTGCCGGCGTACATCGAGGCGGCCAGCCGGTCAAATGTGACCGTCATCTCAGAGATGGCCTACCGCAGCCAGCACCTGCCCGCCTACACCCGCCTGGTGGAGTACTACCCGACCTCGGCCGGGCAGATGCTGCGAGAACTGGTCCCCATGATGCTCTCCGCCTCCATTTCCGGCTACTCCTTCCTGCTGCCCTTTCCGGCGGGCACCTTCAATGACTACTTCAAGTGGTACAAGACCTTCCGCCGGCCCTCCGAAGAGCTGTACATTCGCCTGCTGCAGGCGACCACCTTCATGGCCGGCCAATCGTTCACAAGGCCGCCGTGGAATTACACCGATAATAAGGCGGTTGAGCTGACCAAGAAGTTCATTCACCTGCACGCCGAGCACGCCGAGACCATCATCGATTTGATGAAAAGGAGAGTGGCCACCGGAAGTCCGGTGCTGCGACCAGTCTGGTACAACTTCCCCGAGGAGCCGAGGGCCTATCACATTGGCGACCAGTTCATGCTAGGGGAGAATATTCTCGTGGCGCCGGTCACCGTTGAAGGGCAACGGGAGCGACCGGTGTTCATTCCTCCCGGCAATTGGGTCGACCAGCACGGAAAGACCTTCAAGGGGCCGGTGGAGGTGAAGGTACTCGCTCCGCTGGAGGAGTTGCCGTACTTTAAAAAGGCAGAGCATTTTGAATAAAAAGGAAAAGTGTATTTTAAAAAGTGTGTTTAATAAAAAAACAAAAAGTTGAATGTGTGTGGGTCCATTGCATACTGTGTAGGTTATTTGGACTTCGGTTTAAGTAGAATTGTAGAATCTTTTGGTAGAATCTTTTGGTAGAATTTTGGTAGAACTTTTGAAAGCGATTTTTACCCGGTTTTCCTTTTCAACCAAAGTAATAGGCAGGCGGCGGCACAGTCAACGGCTCCTGGAGCCACAACATGATCTCATTAATGTGCTGCTCCAGGGTCATTTCCGGTGATGAAAGCGGGGGTGGTGGTGGTGAAAACTCTGGCAACTCCAGCGATGAGTGTTCAGGCTGACTCACCTCCACCTGGTCGTCGTGGTTTAGCCCCAGCAACAATGGCGTGTCAGTGTCCTCGATGAGGTGGCCATTGACGATGAAGCGCAGCGAGGAGGCCACCAGGCCACCAAAGTGGTCGCCAAAGGCCTCCTTCAGGACGATCATGGGCTCCGCTCGGAGCTGGATGAAGAACAGCACATTTTGGGTCGCCTCGTCGATGACCTTCAGCAGAATTAACTGGCTGTCCCAAGTTTGATCTCCACCTCCAGTCACGCTTCTGTTGTTGCTGTTGTTGTTGTCCGGGATCATTCTGTGTTTCGTTCTTACTTCCTTTTCAAGAGGGGAAAAAGTGGCACTGATGTTGTCAGTTTGCTTGATGGCGGAAACCTGAGTAAAAGCAAAAAATTGACAAGCGTCAAAGATGCAGGTCAGCGAGATCAAATGGAGCACACACTAAAGCGAAACAGTAAGTTGAGACGCCTAACAACGGTGGAAAGCTTTGCAACCAAAAAAAATAGAAAGAAGAGCTGACACTGGAAAAGTGCAAAACTGCAGGCAGAGACTAAAGAAAGAAGCTAACCAAAAAAAGAAGAAGACTAAAAGAAGGACTACCAAGATTGCCCCCGACTCAACAGGTACCCGACACAAGAACTTACTCCTTTTTGGCTCGGTCAAATCAAATCTACTGCTGCCAATTGGTGGTAGTGACGGTATGGAGTGCTCACGTACAGCCGTGTACAGTGTACAGCAGTGTACGGCAGTCTCCGCCGGTGCTGGCAGACGGCCACTGCTTCTCTCTCCTCCTCCTCAAAATTCAGCATGATAGTGGCGCAATCTGCAGTTCATTTATTCAATGATCGACTGACATTTTTTTTCGGCTGTTGAGCCGATGCTTCTGCTTCTGCAGCAGCAGCAGCAGCAGCAGCAGCGAGGCGCACTCACAGACACAGGCGCACAGACTTGGCTGTGGTGCACCTAACGACCTATTGCGCCGCCGCAGTGGCCATCTTTGTCGCCGTCGCTAGACTGATCGTTATTGTTCGCAAGCCGAACAAAGTTATGAAGCACTGTTGCTGTGCTGAGAGCAAATCACAGCCGTAAACAACAGGATAAATTCCGCCGTCCCCAACTGTATTGAATCGCAGTGCAGAGGGACTGCAACAAAATCATCAACTTTTTTTGGCTCTCAGCAAACGATCAGTCTAGCCGCCGCTGTTGTCGTCGTCGTCGTCGTCGTTCGCTCTGCGTTACACTGCACTGAGCACACCGAGTCCTCTCTTTCTCTCTTTCTCTCTTTCTCTCGCACCGAGTCGCGCAGCAACAAGTAAACAAAAACCCGAATCCGAATCCGAATCTCAAATTGTCTTTCTGAAATCACTGTGTGTGTGTGAGTAATTTTTTGTTTTCCGTTTTGAAAGACTCTATTCAAGCGCCTTATCATCATTGTTTTCCTTCATTTGATCAGGCATCATCATGACGACTAACCGAGGAATAGACGAGGAAGAGGTCGAGGAGCAGGTCGCTTTCATTGTCAATCCGCACTTTGGCGAGGCCGCCATTCAGACACTTGTACGGGCGGAAAGCATGTCTGTTGGTAAGTCGAGGAGAGAGAGAGTTCTTCCGGCAAATAAAACCGAGTTTAACAATTCTCTGTACATTCATTTGCTAACCAGAGATAAACGGCCTCTCCGGTGAGCAGCCGATTCGCAACCGTCCGAACCATCCCAAAAGTCGCTTCCGCATCTGCCTCCGCTCTTTCATCTCCTGGCTGAATGCACTTGGTCACTTCGTGCTGGACCACAAGAAGACGGTCGTCATCAGTCTGCTGACTATTTACCTTCTGGTGACGATGTTCATCCTGCACGGACTGGGCAAGTTGGATGCCGCCGACGATAGCAATGTCAATGTCAATGTTCCCGGTAAGTTGAAACTGCAGACATCAGCCCACACACACACACACACACACTAATCTCTGTTTGTTTGTTTACCACCACNCAGCAGACACCAACACCAACAACAACGACGACCACGTCGAAATTGACTACGAGTCGCTGCAGCTGAAGACCTGTCTCGCCCTGGCCTCCTCGCCCCTCGGTCAGGTGATCACCAGCGCCGAAAGTGCTGAAATGGAATCGGATGAGGAAGATGAATGCACGCTGCAGCTCACCTTCCAGCTGATCACCCTCACCAATTACCCGCTCAAGGCAGAGTGCAATCTCGTGGCTGAGGGCACCGGAAGTAGCCAGTTCTCCGCCGCCTGGAAGGCCGTGGAGGTGGTCGTCAAGGAGTTGCCCAA